GTGTTCCTGCATGTCGCGCTAACGGAGTTTCATCGTTCCTGATATTTTCACATGGAGTGTCGTCGTATTTTTGCATAAAAAGAAGAAGAACTAAAGGTTGCGATTTATTTAGATGAAAATGCTCAGTGTTAAAATCCATCTGCCACTATACCTTTCTAAAACATCTCAAGCAGATTACTTATAGGTGTTCGACTCCGGAATGTACATTACCAGCGATGTGTGACCACGTGATTATTTTTAGTATGTTAAAGAATGTGAATGGGAAAAAGAAAAGATCTTGCACATGTATTAAAATATTATGGGCACTGCACGAAATTCATATGAGAAAATTGTGACTGCATATATGTTCGATGAGACCGGATTGTAATTTATCTCCGAATAGTCACGTTTCGGCATTAACCTAGTATTCCGTTTTAATTTATCACGTTTTGTGTTCTAAGTTATGATATTTTATATGTGTGTGATAAATGTTCCATATTTAATTCAGAAAATGTGTTTGATAAAATAAAGGTGAGATTAGAAAAAGAAATTTGTCTCCACAAGTCTCATACATGTGGGTTATTGGGCAAGTCAAATATGTAATAATTCTTGTCACTAGGGTTTAATTTGCAATGTACTAACACTAAGAATTCAAGCCAGTAAATATTGGGCACATGCAAATTTAATTAAGGATTTCTATATAGATATTTGGTTAGATTGTTACATTACAACACCTCCTAGTAGTGCACACCACTACACACATTTCTCCATCTGTAAAAACCTTTAAATTTAGTTAAGCTATAGATTAAGTTTGTAAAGGTGAACTCACGTGTAGATTTAGAATTTAGCTATCTTTTCCAGGCTTTTAAAGCCTTGTTATGCGATATTTAAATTCTGGAGAGGGAAATGGTAGGGTTTTTCTTAATTTACATAACAAATTTATTTTAAGTGTTCCTGTTCTTAACTTCTTAACTTCTCGAACTTCCCCTCACATTCTCTCGCAAAGATGTAAATTTTAAGTTAAGTGAAGTGCTATTTAAACGTGTGATTATCTCAGTTTATTCAGAGCGTGTTTCGCTAGCCTAGCGCACGTTTTGTTGTTATTTCGCGGTCACTCGAGTTAGCCTTTTGACTTTATCAGTTTAGTATCACGCCGGAGAGATCTCTATGATTCCATGTCTTAGGAGTAATTTTGAAGTGCGTTCTTGCACTCGTTTTATTTTTCAGATTTGATTTTGTATTCTAGTCTACGTTTTAGTTATCGCCGCAAGTGAACGGTGGTTTTTTAAAGCACGAAGTCCGTGCTGTCTGTTATTTTAGTTTGAGTTAATAACGGGTTATTTTGCAGCCTTCTTCTGTGCTGGTATTTTAGTTTGAGTTAATAACGGGTTATTTTGCAGCCTTCTTCTGTGCTGGTATTTATTTCACGCCTGTGCGAGAATTCGCCAGGTTCGTTGTAGGATCGAAGTCAGTGCATGTGGATAAATAGAGACAGATCTTACATCTTATATGAAAGGTCAAGAAAACTTATCGGATATGAAACTAGTACTATAACTTGTAGAATATGAAAGTAATTCAAAAGAATGAATGATGAAAGAAATTTTTCAGAATTGACTAACAAAATTTTAAAAAATAATAATAAAAGAAAAGCAAAAATTTGAAAGTTTTCAGATTTTATATGACACCCAAAGGGGTGTTTCTTTCCTTTACACATACATACATGTCTCCAGAGCATTTGGGGTAAAGCCCCGTTGAGTTATAGATATTTAAAAACAGCATATCTTTAGATCAATTTCGCAATAACAACCTTGTATTTAGCGTACATATATTAAAACACTCAATCGATGGCAGCTAAAGGTCCCTCCTCATCAGGAGAACGAAAATTACTAGAAAGGGGAAAAAAGAAGAAAAATAAAGCATTGGCAAAGGAGTCTCAGAAACACGTGATCATTATCAGTACTGCACGTGGTGGTAACTGGATTTGGATCAGAGTTACACTGGCCGCCTTCTTTTACTGATCCAGGCTATCTGATCAAACATATAACACATAGACTAAAACGCAAAAAAATCAGCGAAGTCAAAAAAATAGGGAGCGAGGGGCAACTGCACCTTCACGCACTAAGTCTGAACCTCGAATAAAGGGAAAGCATGGCATGAATTGAAGTGTGTTTTGCCAACGTGTTTCTGAGACTCCTTTGCCACTGCTTTATTTTTCTTCTTTTTTCCCCTTTCTAGTAACTTCGTTCTCCTCATGAGGAGGGACCCTTAGCTGCCCTTGACATCGACATCGATATGTACGCTAAATACAAGGTTGTTATTGCGATTTTCATTGTCACATTGGCGTGTTTCTCTTCTATTCATATCTTTAGATTTTCCGATAGACTCGCGCTAGAGGTAAACATATATTTTATTCGGTAAATTCAAAATTCGGACTTCCAGATGCCAATAATCGGGTGTAGGACTACGTTATTCAAAATTTGATGGCTCTGGTATCGTTGTTTTTTCACAATGCGAAAAAGATTCATGCAGATGCTTCGTTATTTAATTTTAAATATAACACAAGGCGATAATATTTGGGGCACTGAAAAGTGATACAGCCGTTTATAGTGATTCGACGCACAAATCCTGTTTCGAGACTAACAGCTCTTCTGGGCTAATAAAAATAAATTAAATGGTTTTTGATAACTTCACTTCTCATTCTCATACAGAAAGTATTTTGGTTTTAAGTCTCCCAGTATAATATTTGTACTAATCCTATTAGACATTATTTAAAATTTTAAGCATTTCCACTGTAAGAAACTGATTCTAAAGTTTATTAAAAACGGGATTGATAAAGATAATGTTAAAATGATGGCGCTCAATATATTTGCATGAGATTTTGTAACAAAACACCTATAAGGAATTTTTTCTTACCACCGGTATTGACCTTACTTTCGACATCGAAATCACAGTAATTAATTTAGAAAAGTGAATATCCATATTAAATAATATTCAACAGTTGATAATGATTTTGATTCTGCAGGAATAATGTGCGAAGCATAGCACAGTCTTCCTCAGGGGTAAGCTTTGTTGAAGAAGAAGAAACCTCATAAGAAACTTGATATTCCGACGTATGAAAAAGCTTAGAAGCCAGGGATACAATTCACCGAGTTTTCACAATTCGCTATAGCGCAGAAACAGATTCAAGCACTTGAAAAGCTTTAAAGACAATTTATATTCAATGAAAATCTCCAAAAAATGACGATTACAATCTTTTTTAAATGTACTTAACACCAATCTTAAAGCATGCACAAGCATTTTTGAAAATCCCACTCTTAATTAACTACTTATATCTTATAAGCAATAAAGGAATTTAAAGGCTTTATAAACTTTTCTAAAAAGTTTACGTATACCTCTATAACTTGACATTTGCATAACTCGGTATAGATTTCTTATCCCATAATGTGTCAACTTGCTGATTTCTCGCTATGTGCTGGTAATAAATATTACTAAGGTATTATTCAATGGTAAGTATTATATTTTCGGGCACTTTAAATACTGAAGTTTGTCCTGAGATTCCTTGCGAAACATTCTTTGCGGCAAATGATGAAAGGCAACCATCCTAATGGCTGGGCGTTTGTAGAAACTGCTTTATGATTTTCCGTGAGAGTTGCTAAAGCAATGTAACTCTTACGTAACTACATGGAGTGAGTGACTTTTATCCTGGTACATCATAAATAAGAGGATAATTATAAAAATGGTCAGTATTTTCGTGAATACAAATATGAGTAAACACTGGTACTTGCCAACACTTCAGGCGACTACCTCTTCTACACTTCCACATGATTTTGGTACTTTGAAAACGTTACCCGTCTTAGAAAACACTAATTTATAATGTTAGAGGAAATTAAATGGAAATCTCTAAAATATCATTAAATTTCACTTTTGTAGGCAATCAGTTTCGTATTTTAAGCGTACTCTGCAAAGTTTATTTTAATTAACACTTTTATGCTTACGTTAAAATCTGTCCTATACTTCTACCGTGTCGTCTACAAAGACAGACTATGACAGGAGTTTTAAAGAAGGATAAAACTAAGTTTAAAAGAGAAAAAAAAGGCAGCTTCAGCCGTCCGTAAATAAATAATTCTTCTTGTGTTCGACGTGAACGGAGCCGCCCAGCGGCTCCTTTCACCGCCAGTTCCGCAGCCAGTGTTCAACGGTAAAGTCGCTGAACACTAGCTGTTTGGTCCGGAGTTCGAATCCCGGCGAATGAGCTGACTGCATAAGAGTTTTCTTAATTTTCCCATGAGTAGCGTGTATAGGAGCCATTTTTCCTTAGAACATCCTCCACGAAGGCATTCCTCCCTCCTATTCGTCTTGAGTGGTTTGTCATAATCATATAAACCAAACCAAAACGACATGAAAGGTATTTCAATAAGTTGGTGAGTTTCCTTTCTGCTTTGAATATTAAGTGGTAGTCGTAAAGTTAATAAAGCCAGTTGTTAAGATGTAATTAATTTGTAAGTATCGTTATCAGAGCAAATTTTAAATAAATCAATATTATTTGTCATTTTCACACAGGAGGATGTCGATTTCTATTAGTTAGTTTTGTTTTGTACTTCAAGCTCAAGGCACAATAAGTTTTTAGTTGTATTAAATGGTGTTCCTTTCATTTACTGTTCTGATGTTGTTAGACCGGATGCAGTCCTCTGGCAGTTCTACCATTTTAAAACAGTGTTTCAGTTTAATCCAAACTCAGTTTAATCTTATATTTTTAGCAAACATACTTTAGATTTAACAAATATATAATTATTAAACGTGTCTAAAGAATGCTTAGAAGGTGGATTTAATATAGATGAAAATTTCGTGAATGAGAACATTTAGTTATACCTACTAAAATACATGAGTTGCAAATTTACAGAAGAGTGAAGTCTAAGGGAGAAGAAATTCTTTTTTGTTATCAGACTGTGTGATATATTTTTCATAAACTGAAATTACAAAATATTTATGAAATTCTATTCTAGAAAATGAGTATTTCTCCATTTGCCAGAAATAAAATTATTTATTTACCACAGCATAATAAGGATTTGCAATAACAATAAATTAAAATTTGTGGGATACGGCGAATTTATGTTTTTAATGGATCAGAGCCTTGCCAATACCAGCTCCATATCCATATCCCATACCATAACCATAGCCCAAAGCATTTCCGTGTCCGACGATACCTCCATATGCAATAGGAGCAGCAGCAGCTACAACAGGAGCAGCAGCTACAACTGGAGCGGCAACAGCATGTCCATAGACTGCAGTGGCAACTGGAGCAATATGATCGACAGATGGTCCAGCGTAAGGGCTAGCGATGAGGGCTGCAGCAGGGGTGCTGGCAGCGGTTCCTGGCTCGTTGGTCTTCACGGCGGCACGGAATCCGAGTTTATCAGCTACATAGTCTACTCGTCTGGCTCTGCCATCGATATCGTGGATGGTGTAGGTTCCCTTCTTGTTGCCATAACCATCACCTACTTCAGATCGGGAGTTGGAAGCTCCGAGTTTGTCAACGATGTCATAATTGAAAGCATAGTTTCCATAAGCCTAAAATAAATGTAATTATTTATTAAGTATATGAAAAACGCTTGAAAATATATTATGAGAAAGCTATTAAAAATGTGATTACCCAAACCAGAAACGAATGAACGTAAAGCGGAATAAGTGAAATCTTATCTATCGATTCGATTCATGACTGAAATCTCTTTATACTTTTACATGATATATTATTAAAAACAAAAGTTACCTCAAAACAATCACATCCATTTAGAATTTTATATTCAGAGAATAAATTAATGTGAATAATTAGGAAATATTGTGATATTTGTATACTGTTGCTGATACCAGATGTGGGGAAGTTAAAACAAATCTTAGTAGAGTAAAAGATAAAACCTGATATAATTTCTCTGAATGGACTTCTTCTTGAGATTTAAAGTAAAGTTTTATCAGAAAAGTTAAAAAATATACCATCATTTTAAAATTTAAAGTAAATAAATACAATGATCTTTATTTAAAAAGAAATTAAGATAATAATTAAACGTATTTAAATATCATTTTAAGCTTTTTATTTTTGAAGAAGGGATTATGAATATTCGCTTATTATAATACTGTAAATTATATTAATGCACGGAATCTTTGCTCCTATAATACTTGTATATTGTAAATTTCATAGTATGATGCATTAATTAAATGTCTGAGAATAAAAGTAAGTCTAAAAATAAAACTCTCATTAAAAGCCAAATGAAATGAGTTATTTAATGTAGACAAAGTACATGAAGACGAAATGTCTAAGTTCCGATCTAATAGATAAATTAATAATAATAAATCTTATTCCTCTTTTATCTTCACATTAGTCTCGGTAGAGGGCTTTCAGATTAAAATTTGAATAATGTATTTTTCTTCACAAGATTGTTTACTCACCGTGCCCATGTTAACAAATCTGTCATTCGAAAAAGTCAAAAATTTCAAAAGATGTCTTTTTTAAGAATAGTTTGATTTTTATTCAATATAAGCTTCATTTAAAATATGTTTTACTGAGGTTGAATGAGTTTGGACACAATTTATTACTGCAATGTTGTAGATATCGCTATAAAAATGAAAGTGGTTGGGTTTAAAGACCTATTCGCATTATCCATACGCTATAGAATATCATTTCTGTTGTAGGTTAAATTCCACCTCATAAAAGGAAAAAGGAATTATACATTTCAAAATTTACGCATTGAGAAGCTTCATATGTAGTTGTATGCTACATTACTTTACCATTTTTCACAATATTACCAACTGGTTTTTCAGTTATTATGACCGTATAATTACTTCTACTACGAATTCTGAAAAATAAAATTTTTGTTTAACCATATATAACTAGTAAAAAATCCTTCGAAAATTAAATATTGTTTAAAACTGGCTGAATTATTGAATACTGATAAAAAATTTAAAAATTATTTAAAAATTTTAATACTTGTTTGTTTGCACAAATTAAAAGTAATAGTACAGTAGGTATACAGTTAAGTAAGCTCAGATTAAGTAACTACTCCACTATACTTTTAATTTGTACTTTATATTAGAATAAAAGGCTGGATCACGATTTTCCAATCTGTAGCAATTCATAGAAAAGAAACTTACATCTTGTGTTCTAGAACTGGCACTGACACCAGTACTGACAAGGGGTGCCTTCAGAAGAACACTGGCATGAGAAGCTGCAAGAGCAGCGCACAAGAAAACAACCTGCAAGAAAATTGTATTACTTTTAATTAAACATATAACTTTAGTTAACATAGGAAAATCAGTTTAATGAAAACTAAATTGAAATTAAAAATCTAATGAGGTAATTTTTATTAAGTGGGAAAAATTTAACGAAATACTTTGCACAGCTATAAAAATAAATTTACTTTAATGTCGAAATCGGTATAATGAAAAGGTTTACGACATAGGAATGCAAAATAACTTAAATTTTACGTTAGAACGCTTTAAACTCTAGTGTATTAAATTGTTCTGAATATGAAAATAATAAGTAAGTTATATTTGGAAACTCTCTTATTTAAAATGGATTAAAATAGTAGAAAGAAGATCAGTTATATAAATTCCAGATAGCGAAGGTGAGTAAAAGTATGTGTCTTTCAAATGCCAGTTGATTCTATTTAATCAATAGAAACGAGGAAAGCAACTTCTAATTGTGTAAATGGAGGACTGAATTACAATTGAATTTCTTTTGATCCGTTAGTGCTAATGTACTTTTGTGAAATACGTATCCAGTATAACTGTTTGTTTATGTTTCCGCATTTTACAGTTTTATGAAAGGTCAATTTGCAAAAGTCATTGTTTAAAGAATTCTCTGAAATATTAAAACCAATTAAATTACTACAAGAAAATTAGAACGCAAATAAAATTTAATAACGTAAACTTATATATGTCTGCTCAAACTCTTATAATTGTTTTAATGACACATATTAAAAATATGCTTTTGGAATTAGTTTCTTTGTTTTTATTTTGTCTTTTGTATTAGTGCTGCACTATTAGATTTTATGAAGCAATTCTCCGAATTTTTTGCTCATTTATTTATGTACAAGCTTAAAGGATTTAAACATTTTATTTGATATTTTTTATCAAAATTCTTTCGATACTTTGCTTGTATAATTAGTTAAATACCTCCTTTAAAAGTCGCATTTATTTCACAATACATAACGTTAGCCTCCTGGTTTCAGAAAATAAATAAATGAAAGAAAATTTCAGTTTCCATTCGAATATGATATTTTTATTCTAGAATTTAAAAAATGCATTTGGAATGAAATTATGAATTACATGAATACATAAATATGTAATTAAATTGTAAATACATGCTCATGCACGTAGTAATACATCTCATGTTAACATTTGTGTGTAAAATATTTTAGAAGAAATAAAGTATTTGCACCTATTAAAGGTTTAATAATATTAATCTGTCATGTGCATTATATCTAGATTGATATATAAATTCTTTTTTTATTCATATATCAGTCTTTCTTTTGCTACTGAAATTTTGAGGCAATATGAGAGGAAAGTGCTTGTTATGTTCGACATACAAATAAATATTGCCAAATAATGTCCTTTGGGTAATTAATATGCAAAGAATGCGCTGAAGTGGAGTTAAAAGATAAAACAATTACGAAATAAGAGTGAAAATGTTTTAAAATTTAATACGTAGTAGAATAAAACTGAGGGAATTTTAGGAAATTTTAGATAGTTTTGAAAAGCATCAGAGAAAACGAACAATGTTTTAAAAATTAACAATAAAATTTGATATTGATATTAAAAGGAAAGTTAATTTCTTGAGCAAAACAAATCTGATAAATATTAAGAAATTGAAATCAAATGTTTCAAAAAACATACTGTAAACTGTAAACATACTGTAAATTATATGTTATAAAATTTACATACTATGTTAAAAATACTGTAATTTGTATGTTAAAATTTATTTTAAAATATTTTTCATTCATTGAAAATGATTCCTCCGCAGCAACTGATTATTTCTTAGATTTTAAATTTACAGTTTTAAAACCAAATATGAATTATAATTACACACATATTAAAAATGAAAATAGGTAGAAAATCTTTCATTTACTGTCTGAAGGGGGAACATAATGCTGTGTATTTTTTAGAGAAGTCTAAAACTGTTCTGAACTCAGACTGAAGGAAACAAAAATTATTTACTTAAGCTTAGAAATAACCCAGTGAGTTTTAAAAGGCAAAGTATCTGTTAATTTACTCGAAGCTTTTCTTTTTATTCATAAGGCCCACCAGCGGCCGAGCGGTAAAGTCGCTGAACACTGGTAGTTCGGTCCGAGGTTCGAATCCCGCGAACGGCTGGCTGGCTGCATGGTCGTGTTCGTTTTTCCCCATGTAACGTGTATATGAGCCAGTTTCCCCCTTAGAAAGTCCTCCACAAAAGGCATCCCTCCCCTTAGGCAGATAGCCCTAGTGTGCTTTGCCATAATTAAATACACACACACCTTTTTATTCATAAACTACTTTACTTTTTAATACCATTATAGGTTGCGATTGTTAGCTGCTGCTTTTCAATGTTAGTTTGATCTCAGTTAGCAATTTTATGCTTATTTTAAAAAATAACTCATTTTTGAATACCTTAGGTCGAGAACTGTTTATAAATATTTAAATGGAGTAATACAAATAATAAACGGGTGTTTATTATTTAGATGATATGAAAATCGCATTTTTGACAAATATAGGGCTGTAATACCGAAAAAATACGTATCGGGAAAAAGAACTCAAAATATGTTTAGGATAAGAAATAAGTTAAATTTCTTTAATATATATTAAGACATTTAAAGATAAATATTGTCTTACCTTTGCAATCATGATATAAGTTTGATTTCAGTTTCCAGAATGAAAATCATAAACTTCAAATAAGCTTTTATACTGTACACAAACTTTTTTTTTTCAAGTTATTTAACGTCATTATTGATTCTGAACTGCAAAAACCGGAAAGAAAACTTTTCTCGAGATTTACGCTATGTATGACATTGACAATCCAGCGTCCTTGCGATTATTTAAACTTTAGGTTACTTGCGTACCATGTAGATAATATCACATAATTAATTTCTTTTCAAATGACATTGAGCCTTAGGATAGTGATTTATTCTAAACTTTTTTATACGTCTGATTAGTGTTTTCAATGCATTCACGAAATCTTTTATCTCAGTCTTTTGTCAGTTTGTTACACCTTTTACTCTGAAATGCAAAGGAATATTTGAATCTTTATTATGGAATAAAAAAATTAATCCATATTTTACAGTGATTAAAGTAGTAAGAACGGAAAATTATTTGAAAGTTAACATTGCTTTGCTGCTTAAAATACAAAACAAATAACAGCAAAGCAAATATATATGAATGATTGCATTTAATCTGAAAAATTTTAATAAATTTTTCCGGTTTCTCTCGTTTAGGAGATTTTTGGAGTAAATAATATTAAAATAATATTTTTCGAATGAGAATTAATTGTCTTTAATGTTTTTTTTTTTTTTTTTTTTTTTTTTTTTGTTTCATTATTCACTAGAAAACGAAAAAGACATTCTTATAAAGTAATTTCAAAGAAATGGTTTTGAAATTTTCTTAAAAATTAAAAAAAAAAAAAAACAGTTTAAGCATTAAATCGGGTATTTTCAGAGACGGCAAGTTTTACTATTTGTCAAAGACACCTAAAAGACTTAAAAAAATTTGAAACAACTTCTGAATAAGCTTCCAGGGCTGTAAAAGGGGACTTTCCTGATCGAGTAAACTCTCTTCAGGTAATGCAGTTAGCGAGGTACCAATTAAGAAATGGCGCGGTTAAGTGCAGAAATTTCTAATGGATCTTCAGACATTAGATATAAACGTCGCGAATTTAACAGGCTTAACGTTAAGCTATCAATATCATAAATTCGTTTTGCATTAAAAGTTATTCTTTTATAATTCGCTTGAGATGTAGCTTTATAGATTAGACCGCAGCCTCCCATAGTCCTCCAAAATGGGGACTGCTGGAGGATTAAATAGTTCCTTCCTACTTTCAGTTGAGCAGTATTTATTAACCAATTCATTTGCCTTCAAAGAATTTATTACTCTTTTTAATTCTTTGTAATAGATGTCTTTAATTCAGTTTGTAATAAATGTCAGTCAGGAGCTATTAACATTTTATATGAAGACAGAATGGGACCTCCTTAAAATGATGCTTACAAAAGAAGAGTATCGGTTGGTTGCACCTGCCTTTTTTGTAGTAGCGGTTCACGATTTTAAATTGAATTTATAGATACATGATATTCAATACTGTTACAGTGTACTGTTATTACTTATCTGTGAGATGTTTTAGTGAAATGCATTCGTTCATGATTCCACCTTTTTAATCTGTGTATAATATGTGATTTCACTGCTTAGACGGTACAGTGGTTAGGGAAGCCCACTGCGATACCGAAGAGCCGTGGTTCGAATCCCGGAGAAAGCACGGTTGTAAACTGTCTGTTTCGTCATAGGTAATAACGGTGGCCGTCTGTTAGGTGCCTCCGTAATAAAATGATCAGCACAGGAGTGGCCAATGCTTAAAAAAAGGCAAGTGACAGCCATTCGATAAAAAACAATAAATAATGAGTGATTCCTAATTAAGCCAAGGAGCATTAGCTATTTTTCTGAGAACTTTGTTTTGCAAAATTTGAGAATTTGAAAATTTGAGAATTGCTTTGCAGAGATTTGTTCGCAGCATCTCCCCATATGGGAAAGGCGTAAAGTGAAGCTGGATGAATTATTGCTTTATATAATATAATTTTATTCTGAAGAGAAAAACTGCTATTTTTTTAAATAAGAATCCTTTAGTTAGTTATGGAATTATTTAACTTATTTCTGAGTTTCGCAAAATGATGTCTAAAAGAGAGTTCTTTTTTGTCAAGTATGATGCCTAAACATATGAGTCTGTTTTCAGTTATTTCTTCTTCAAATAGACAGTCTCCTTTAGAAAGTCCTCCGCGAAGGCATCCCTTCGTGGCTTTGCCATAACTAAATAAACAGAACCAAACCTACTAACGACGTGAATAGAAATGGTAGCAGTAATTTATCAAATTGTTATCTATCAACTGGGCAGTGTAAATTTAAGAATGAAAATTGAAATAAAAATAACGTCCTTAGTAAAATAACTTATTTTAGTTAAATGAAGGAAACAAAAGAAAATATTTTTCATAAAGTCCGTTTAATCTTCCCATCCTTTCATTTGACATTCCGATTGGACCTTTCTCATTCTGGGTATCCAAACCTGAAACCTGTTAGCCTATAGTTTTTAGTGGCTATAAGTTTTTTAAATAAAAAAGAAATTAAAGTCTGTGATTGTTTTTGTTTTCTTTCGTAAAAGGATTTTACTAGCACCAGCTTCACTTTCTACGTTACATTAAAAATGTTAGCTAAAAGTGTTTCAGTGTGGTTCATTTAACGTGATTGAGGGAAATATTTCAGAAACAAAGAGTTTTAGAGAAAAAATATTAGTTAAAATGTTCACAAAAATTTCAGTAAATTTTTTATTAGTTAAAATTTAACAGTTTAATTTTAGCTGATTATATATGCAATTAGGAAAATAAATTTATTACTCAAGTTTTATTCAGAAACGTTCTGAAGGTCATCTGAAAGGCAATGTAACATTTTGTAAAAGCAAACATGTTTTTTTATTTGCTATTCTCATTACTCCAGTCAAATGATTCATTTTGTATTTACGATATTTTTCATTCAGTGACAAATTTCGCAAATATATGATGGGTAAATATTAATAACAGAAAGTCTTATTTTTTCTTGGGAAGCAATCAGTTTAGCTTATCGCAACTAGTATTAGATATGCAACACAACAGTGTACAGTGAATATATAACTATAGGCCCTTACCATGTTCATTACCATAGTTCACAGACAGACAAGATATGTGAGAAATCTTGAAAGCCTATCTTTGTTCAGTAAGGCATATGCGTACCGGGGGATACAAAACTATCATAAAACATCAATATGTAATAGTTCGAAAAGGTAGCACGCTGTGGTCTTCACAGAAAGCAGTAGCACGCTATAATTTTCGCACAAATACTCAGAAAGACGTAGAATTTTTTAATAAAAATTTTATTTCCAGACTGATTACATTTTTCAACGACAAGGGATACTTGAGTTATGTAAGAAGAGACTTCAGCTGTTATTCCTCTCACACAATGTAACTTCTTTCAGCTTTGCCAATAACGGAGGTCAGCCTCTGTATGTCTAGAACTTCAAATAGCTTTACGTAACCAAAAGTCATAAAATGTAAAATCTGAAGACTGTAATGGTCCTTCGTTTGGAAAAAGAGACTGAGAACACATCATTATCAAAATGTCAAAGAAACAGTTACTAGGCAGGACTTGTAAGGAAACGTTCGATCCTGCTCGAGTGCTACACACTAGTCTAGAATGGAGTAGTCGCCTGTCTTGTCAGGAGGGAATAATGATGTTTCTCACAAAAGCTTCATGACGTTCGATTGGACAGAAATAGTTCAAAATGTGCTTCTGCACTACCGCAAGGAAAGAATCGCACCTTAATTGAGGCAAATAGGCTACCAGAATCATGTATGGGTTTTTTATCGCCCAGATGCGGAAGTTGTGAGCATTTATATATCGTTTATGCGAAATGTGCATTGTTTTCCATCTCATTAAGTTCATTGCTTTCCACCTGTTGAAACATGTCGAAATTAAGTGCATTGTTTTCCACATACGTGCTTGTTATACGTGTTAGATTTTTTAAGGAACTTCTTGGGGATGATCTTATAAGGTATTCCTCCCGCCTTATCTGCATGCCTTCGTGGTATAGTGCTCAGCACGCTAGGCGAGTATGCGGAGGTCCAAGGTTCGAGTCCCGGCAAGGGCATTGCACATTTCTCCAATTTCCTGATTTAGGAAAAAATCTAATGTCTCTATAGTGGCGTCCGAAATAGAAAAGGTGCTGGATGAAGATTCTCCATCACCAGGATTTGGCGATTGGGTCCCCTAATCCCCAGCCACCCTTTAAAACGGAGACTATATAAGGTATTTCTACCGCCTCCTTAGCATGCCTTCGTGGTGTAGTGGTCATCGCACTCGGTGCGTATTCGAGAGGTCCGTTGTTCGAGTCCTGGCTAGGGCATTGCTCATTTATCACATGGCCTGCTTCCAAACAATCTTAACTGACTTTTTCACATTCTAGTGTTAAATATCAATACTTCCTCGCCTGTTATAGCACTCCTGTCGGTACAAATGTAAACATTCTAGGAGTAAAGTGTTCTATTACTAAAAAGAAGCGATATCTTGCCGTAAATTTCTGTGAATATCGCAGCATGTTATTGACTATACTTTCCGATTTCCTGAATTTTTACTTCTGCTATTTTTGGATCATCCGGTATTTACAGTAATCCGAGTAAATTAAATGAATTTTTTCCCTCTATTGAATATTACTTAAGACTGAAGAGTTAATTTTTTTTTTTTTTTTAATTTCCATGAAAGGAAGTACACATTATTCAAAAATAAATAAATAAATAGATAAAAATAAAATAAAAATTTTTAAAATGAATAAAATAAAACTAAAATTAAATCATTTTTGCTTAATTAAGTATTCAATCCATTTTTATTTCAATGAAAGCTTAAATAACGGAATTAATTTTTGTCATGGGTTTTATTTTTATTTTTATTAAAATTGGTAAATTATTTTTTTTAATATTTGCGTAAATAAATGAGAAATAAAATATCAATAAAATGTATTGATTTTTGAAATTCATGCAAAATGTGAAAAGTAAAAATTGAATCCCAGTGAAAAATTCGCCAATGAAAATGTGCTCCACGTATGCCTCGGTTTCAAAATCTGGGCTATCCCGATTCCTTTCCTTTTAGTTCATTTATATTTTTAAAAATTGAAATTTTTGCGTTTTTGGCATTAAATAAAAGTGATTTTTCTATACATTTAATTTTTATCTCTGAATCTTTCCCAAAATTATATTAAAATTACTAGATGCTATATGACGACATTTTGTTGAGCTTTCAGGTACTCAGAATTATCCAAATGTATATTTATTTCTTATGAAAAATAACATGCATTGAATTTGTAAATAATTCTTATTTCAGGAACGTTTTAATCAAACAAACTTTTATTTTTTTCTATATATTTAAAGTCTGATCTCGAATCTTTGCAATCCACATACTTCTAAAATTCTAAATTTTGTTACATAACTAAAAAATAATTTATATTTGTCACACTAACACAACCAGAAATTAAATAATTGAAATACCAGAGGCAGTTTTATTCTTATTTCAATCGAAAAAAAATGTCTTAACATTGAAATTAATTCTTTAGCCTTAATTTACTTCCTACTGTAAAACTCTAAAGGTTCTTTAGTATTACTTATATTAAAATACATGATATCATTCGATTTCAATTTTCAGATTTTAAAAGTTGGCTAAGGCCTTTTCTCTCCACAGTGTGAAGACTTTTCGTATCGGAAACAAGGAAATGCTTTTAACAGAACTTTAAATTCTAGAAAATATAGATTTTAATATAATTTTTCAATAGTATCAAAGTATAGTTTTCAATAGTATAGTTCTTCAATAGTAATAAATTGGTAAAAGAATTCATAATATTAAGTATAAGATTGAAAAATTCATAATCTCTACATATAATAAAGGAAAAAGTCTGTCTGTGTGTCTTTCGTTCGTGCTGCGCGTAAGCTAATAGATCCAGGGCTACGAAATTTGGTACCTGTGCATCTGCACAAGAGCTAGTGCACCTCGAAGCGATTTTTTTAAAGTTTGAATGAGATTTTCTTTTTTGATGAAATCGCATCATTTTGAATAGTTTCATTCTTTTAGAAATGGGGTTTTGGCAACAGTTTTTCATTCATTGCTTTTTATACTGGACTGCTGACTGTTGAAAATATGAGATAAAATGCTACTCATTTTCTTTTGATTTTTGGACACGCAACACGCACATCGCAATCTCATTATTCTGACGCGCATATGTCTCGCGAGGCACAAAAGAAAGAATTTTTTTTTCTCTCTCTCTCTTTATTAGCTAACGGTAAAGAGGTTTGTATATTTTGAATTATGTCATGCACAAAGCACAATTTTGATTAGTTATTGCTTTCTGATGATAGTTTCATTCTTTTAAAAATATGGTTTGGGCTGCAGTTTTTCATTCATTGTTTTGGATACTGGACTGCTGACTGTTTTCTCTTGAAAATGTGAGATTTATTGCTTATTTCATTGCAGTTTTTTATATTATATTTTAATTATATATAATTTTAATTATATAAAAGGTTTTGGATGATTTGTTTAGGAAACAAATTTCTTAACTTCCTTTATATCATTTGAATTCTTAAGATTTTGCAACGGGAAGTTGGTTAATTTATTTATTAGGATAATTAATATTTGTATTAAGGGATATTGCTTATTTCATTGTAATGTTTTTATATACATAATACATTTTTATTTATTCTGATAAAGATTTTCCTGCAGAGTAAAATTCTGAGCAGTTTTTAAATTTAATGTTTGATGTTCCCTTTAGGCATTTTACCCATACATTTAAAAGCCAGACGAAGGTAGCTTCTAGTATTAAATAAAAGATCAAAGTTAAAATAAATATGCGCAAGAGCAAATAAAAAAGCTATATACTTAATACGTCAGCCAATGTGGATAAATAATCGTTCGCGAAAGAAATCTGAAACGAAGAGTTTCACTGTTCTCAAGCCCAAAATTCTATAAATGACAATTCTAAAAAAATGTTATAGAAGACTCTACGACGGAAGTTTTCTCTTAATCATTTTCATTTAAAAACAAGTGCTAGGGAAATCATAATTTTCTCCAAAAAATACTACATTGCCTATGAAAACAAAATTCTGTGTAAAAAAAAAAGGCTTTTGCATAAATATTTAAAATGTAAGCTAACATATAAGTACATTTTATGTTTTCCCATTTATTTTCAAAATGTGAGCAACTGATGTAAAAAATTCAAAGTATTAACTGTTAATCTAAGATAGTTTTAAAAAATAAAAAATTCATTCGCTTTCTCTACCTTTCGTTGAAAACAATATTTAACCTTGGAATTTATCAAAAATATGTTAAACGATACATTTATCTTATTTTTGCTTAATAAACAGTAATAATGTGAATTTGTATAAAATGAGTTATATTTGGGATTGAAGCAAAACATTTAGGGAAATAGCTCTTTCTAACAGCAATCACATGCCTATATAGTTTGAATGAGTTGAATAATTCCTTACAAAATTCCATAATATTGACTTGATACATATTTTTAAATATATTTTACTAACTAAACGCCATAAAAGTATGCAGTGAATTATTCAGATCCTTCAAATGCAATATTTTTAATATAATATTTTTTCTGAGTTACAAACATTAATTTAATAATTACTGCATTGAAAATTTCGAACAAGATCACTGCTTTAAAGTAAAATCTAATTAGCGTACATTGAATAACATCAGTTGACTTTAAAGTAATGGTTAATGAAATAAGAAGAAAAATGTTAGAAAAAAAGAAAAACTCAAAACACTGGAAAGTATTGTCTAATTTGCATTACAAATCAATACGATTATTTTTAATATTGTTTGTTTGCGCAGATTTTAACTATCAAGGGTAGTTTGTGAACAGGTTTTGTAGTGGGTTATTGTATGACAAGTCCTTATCGATCAAATAGTAAACAGTATTGACTCATGCAAAAGCTTTAACATATAACTACGCCCCTGTGGCATTAGTGGGATAGTTTAATTACCCTTCAAGGATAGAAGTGTTTTACTGCGTCCTTGTGATTATATCATTCTAATTTTATATCACACGTCTTACTTGTTTTCGTATACGGAGTTAGTATATAAAGGCTTATGGTTCTCGTCAAAACCATTCGCTTCACTAGCGGAATACCTCAATAAACCGGAAAATGTTCACAAAGGTAAGAAGATCTGTTTTTATTTTAAGTCAAATAACAGTAAAACCCCATTTATTCGAACTAATTGTCTGAATATCCATTGAAACTATTTTCAGCAATTATAGCTAGAAACAAATACGTAGCATAACATTGTTAAGGAACAAATTTAATTACTGCACTTCTTGTATTTACATTATATTAAACTTTCTTATTGCATCAAAATTTTACAAAAACTAAGATTATCTGAATTTTTGTTCTGCTGACACTAAAGTGAATCTAAGTTCAGCAAATATTTTATGAGAAGTACAATCAGCTGCTGTTTTATGAAATGATAGATACTTGAGACAACTATGCAACTATTCGTCTTAATAATGAGTTGTAAACTTTCAGTCTTCTGGTTCTGTTAGTTCACTGTACTGGTTCTGATAATTCGTCTTTCAGAGATGGCTAGGAGCTCAGATTTTGATTAACACAAACTATTAGTGACTGCAGTTATTTGAAAATCATTTTCAGGGTTGAGATTTCCCATTTCGCTCTATTTGTCTATGAGATGCTGATAATGACATATTTCATACAAAAGCAATCGCTATGTTTAGTTCTTTTGAACAAAGATCATGCACATGTACACTGCGGGAAAAAAAAGGGGGGGACAGTTCTGTATCTCTCATTCTACAGGGCCGATTGACTGATTCTAACATAGATATTTTGACATAAAATCGGACTTTTTCTGAAATAATATATAAACTTTTTCACATTTCGATTTTACGACTCAAATTATGCCTAGATATTAAATTTTGTAATTTTTGGTGAGAAATTTATGGAGAAATTTAAAAATTTATCTTGGCATACTTTTTTTCAGTTTGCGCCAAGGATAATTCACTCGGCGGAATTTTTGATTTATAATAATTTACTTAATTTCCTTTTTTTTCATTAATGAACGAGAGGAAAAAAGATTCATCGTTCATTCAAAAATTTTATAGGATATAATACAAAAAGTTTTTCGAAAAATTTATAAAAAGTATTTAAAAATAAAAAATTTTAAAATAAAAAATAATAGTAAACGTGCGAATTATATTTGGATTAAGCCTAAATTTCGAATTCCGGAAGAAGGAATCAAGTAAGTTTCATAAAAAAAGAGATATTAATAAACATATAGTATAAAATTCAATTAACACCGAGGAGCTCAAATTTTGAGCTAATTTTTAAAAAGTACTCGTGAGATTTTTACAAAAACTTGGCATTTTGGCATAATTTGAGTCATAGAATCAAAATATGGAAAATAATTGGCATGTCATTTCAGAAAAAGTCCGATTTCGTGTCGAAATACCTATATTAAAATAATGCTGCATATAAATCCAGTATGTTTTCGAGACATGAAAAACGCAAGTTGAATTTCGTCAATAGGCCCAGTAGAACGAGAGACATAAAAAAAAAAAAAAAAAAAAAAAAACTGTACCACTATTTTTTTCTTTTTTTGCGCAGTGTACATTAAGTATTGAAGCAATGTTAAAAGCAAACTAATTCTGATTCTTTGATTTCAAATTAAACTCTTCACCTTCTGCATTTTTCATTCTACAAAATAAAGTTTCAATTGCGATTCTTGTCATTAGTGGTAGTTATGATGCTATTTTCATAAAGCTTGTATCAATACCATATTGAGAACTACCATTTACATATTGCAGCAACATACATATTTATCATTAATTCGAAACGGTCATGTTTATTTAGTAACGTATTGTAAAAAGATTGAGAAATCCGCATAGTGTATTTACTGAAATATTTAGGCAGTGGAAAAATATCTAAAATTTATTTAATACTCCTGAATGGACTTCCAATGAACTAAGTACTTAATCAGAAATGACTGGATTGCTTATTCTAATAGTTCCGTAAAGAAATCTAACGGATTCAAAATAAGCTCTTTGAAATTAATCAAAATACATAATAAAGTGACCACCGCTTTTGTTCTTAGTAAAGTGGGTAACATTTGTGGACGGTTTGCGCCTGCCATAAGAAAATCCTAAAGTATTCAGGTTTTAGATTCACACTACAGGGTTTGTAAGGGTTTGTGAGTTCCCTGAGCTCGAAGTTTCCCAGTCTGCTCTTATACTCCCTCTTGCTAACTCTTCCTTGTCTTTTTAATTGGATTATTAAACATCGGTTTCTTTGCATCACGTTATTCGCTTTCTTTGTGTCACGTAAAATTCAACAGCAAAATCCAAAACGTTTAAGAACGGCAAATGCTTAGAATTCCTGGTACAGTGTTAAGTGTTGTTGTTATTTTCTCAGTTCATCGTATCAATACTCAGTTTTCTTAGTAAAATTATTTACACGACTTTTGGTATTTTTATCATTAACTTTTTGTCTTTATAACTTTATTTATTAAACATCACTTTCTTTCACTTATGCCACATACAAAAAATTCAACAGCAAAATTGCAATGTATTTTAAAATAACAAACTTTTAAGAATTTCCATATAGTATAGCGTTGCCATACACTTTTTTATGTTCGTTACATAATTTCTTTAAAAATAATACATTGCCATAACATTTGGTGGCCATACATAGCCATAACATTTAGTCCCTCTTATTTGTGTTACTATATTTGCTATATTATTTCTTTAAAAATAATAGATGGCCATAATGTTTGGAGCCAACATCCATTTATCTCAAAATGGATGCGGACAAAAAAGGGAGAAAGGAAACTGGTAGCACCTCTGGTGATAATAATAAAAATAATAATAATAATTAACTGTTGCCAAGAAAAAGTTCAAAATGTGAAAGAAAGTAATATTATTATTTAAAAATAGTACTTAAGTTTTCTATACAGATTAATATTAGCTCGATTAAACAATATTGTTCTTAATAGTGTTTTTATTTACATTTAAATTTATAAGCTGTTTTTAATCTATCATAAATTAATAGTTTGAAAATTTTTCATGAATAGATTAGTACCTGGAATAAGGTTTTGCCTTAATTTTAATAAACCAGGAAGTTAAGTCTAGAAAGCCCTTTTATAAATTTTAATACTAAACCATAGAGTTATGTAATGTAGGTAAGTTAAATTAATATAGCGCATATAATCACAGATTCAAATTATTGTTTACTTAGTATCGTCTGTAAAGTTAACCTGTAAAATTTTACAACCAAAACAGTTAATAATAAATTCAAATGAATATTATTATTCAAGAAACTAAAAATGACTAAGAAAAGTCCACATCTTCTAAAATTGAAATAACACAAGAATAATTAGACGACTTATTGGATTGAATTTTGTAATTTCTCACTGAAAAACTGAGAGATATGTACAGATTCAAGAAGCGTATTGATCGTAGTCATTTAAACACAGGGATAGTGTTACTTTCACTTTGTCATGTAAACATACCCCTCAGATGTAGACAGCTGTCAAGTGTAATAAAAAATCTAACGTGAAGATAATATGTACTTGCAACCATCACATTTTATGACTCTACCTCCCTACAGATTTCACTAACAACTTTAAAATGACCCTGAAATCTTATAACGCTAATTACTAATAGAAAATATTTTGCTTATTTTTTATTCAGGTTCTTGTACTCTTTGCTGCCGTCGCAGCTACACAAGCTAGTGGGCTTATCGGAGCCGGATATGGATTGGAAGCCGGATATGGAGCAGGCTATGGATTAGTCGGTGCACCAGCTCTTGTTGGAAAGGCTGTTGTTCCTGCAGTCTCCTCCTCCAAAACTGCCATCAACCATATTGCTCCTATGGGAATTGCTGCTGCTCCCGTTGCCTTGGCTGCTGCCCCCGTTGCTGTAGCTGCTGCTCCACTGGGTCTTGCTGGACGTGGAATCGCCACCGCTCCTGTCGCTTATGGAAATGGGCTGATCGGTAACGGTCTTCTCGGTGCCGGTATTGTAGGCCATGGAGTTGCTGCTGCTCCCCTTGCTTATAGAAATGGACTGATCGGTAACGGTCTTCTTGGTGCCGGTGTAGTAGGCCACGGAATTGCTGCTGCCCCCCTTGCTTATGGCAATCAACTTCTTGGATTGGCAGCGGGAAATCTAGCTCTTGGTGCCAAGGCAATCTTGTAAAAATCTTATGCTATAAATTGTTTGTAGATGTCCTGAATTAAGTTATTATTCATGTTAAAATAAATTACAAGTTCTAGATATCATGCACTTCCTTTATTCTTTCAAACGATGGTAATTTTCTTCAAAACATTAATGTCTAGCTTTGAAAAATTTATTATGTGTCTAAACTTGCTTCATACTAAGAATGACTTCTGCTGTTTTTAATCTATCATAAATTAATAGTTGTGATAGATTAAAAACAGTTCATTTATTAGGTATCAAACCTGTTCTTATTTTAGCATCCACAATTAAACCATTTACATTAAAGTTTTATTCTTAGTTTGAATTTATTGAGAAATTATTTCTAACGGTCATTTTATATTCACGAGTAGAAAGGGCTGAGCACATTAAACAACATTCAGAAACTAAAAATATTCAATCAGCTACAAGATCAGGTTATCATTTCCTTAAACCTCTTAATAGATACATAAAACTCTGCATTTTTGACTAATTAGTGTTTGGCCGATAACGAGTGGAATTAATTCTCTTGTGGTACACCCCCCGCCAAGATGTTAGTTGCTCTTTACCTGAAACAGACAACTCCGTGTCGGTGAACTGAAAATAAATCCTTATGTTTAAACCAGCTGTGATTTGATGGAATAATATTTATGGAAAATATTTAAGTATATATTATTATTATCATTATTATTAAAAGGGAGATGATCGTGTTAAGTTAATTTAATTTCACGCATTCTTTAATTGTATTATACACTTTCACATTTTCATCTTCTAATGCGTAGAATTTTACAACTGAAACTTAATTTGAAAAAAAAAATGCATCCAATTTCTCTTTGACTAGAAGAAAATCCTAAACTTCTAAGCATTTTTAAGTGACAAGCATAGCATGAGATTAGTTTTAAAATTATTTCCGAAATAAAATGCGAAAAGTGTTCACTGTAGTAAAACTATGTGAGGATATTTCAAGAATCAAATACAAGAATCAAAATGCGTGTATCTGGCTGTCTTTCTGCAGTTAATTTCAAATATATAACCAAATCCTTTTTAATCATTCGGTATTTTCTCTGTTCTTTTTGGGGAGACGGCGGCAGTGACAAATAGACAAAGTTAATATAAGTTTACGCGATTTAAGTGAGTTAAGAAAGAAGATGTAAAACACGCTGATGTCTACACCACATGACTTCTTTGTGCAGAATATTAAATTATACGCACTTTTTGCTGCATTTCATTTAAACTTATTTTTTCGAATTTAATTAAACATGTGTAGTTTTTTTGCCTCGGCAAAAGATTATTTCTCATTCAATTAATTCTGTTCTCAGTTCGCGGCACGGCAAAAATACATAAAACCTCAAAATATCTTTATTAAAAACTGAAAAATATAGAAAGCATAAATCACCAAATACAGTTAAAACAATCAAAAGAACAATTTTTAAAACTAAAATTACAGTTTCTACGCAAAAACAAGCAATTCGGTCAGGAGGCAACAAACCAGATTTTTTTTCTATGCGCAAAAATGAAAGTTTAATTTTGGTCCCACTCGGCAAAAAGACACTGAAGTTTCAGAATTGAATTCACTATTTGTCTAAGTTTCAAATGTAAACAAAGATGGTTGCTATGGTGTTATTGCATACACACTAACTAAAGGCATAGAAACCTTAACCGGAAGATAAGAACAACATAATTCAATCAGTTTTAAAGCAAAAAATGCTCAATTTACCAGCATATAAGAATAAAAAGAACTGAGCTCACTGAGCCGAGTAACAGAGTGTGAATATACACGCATATATATATATATATATAATATATACATAACCAATCGCACGAAAAGTATAAATATATATATATATATAATATATATATATATATATACTTTTGGACCAATTGCAACCAAAAAGAGAGGTGCTCTACTACATATTATAGCAGTTTTATATACAACATTTCAAAGTTCTGAGGTTACTAATTTTTGAGTTATGCGTTATACATACATACGTACGTACGAACGTAGACGTCACGAAACAAATCTCTTCTGAATCCATTTTAAATCATTTTTATAATTTGTTTGGGAAAAAGAGCCCTTTATTCTGTTCCTACGTATAGATGTCAAGGAAAACCATCGTTAAATTGCGTTTGTTAGCTGTCAAAATGGATATTTTTGTCGAAATATGATACTCGGAATTTTTCGTGATTACAATACTTCCTTTAGTTCGTAGAAGGAAGTAAAAATGGAAGCATTCGACTTTTATGTTGCACTTGGTTTGAAAAATATTCCTCTTAAAAGTCAAGCAAAACCAACTATCATATCAGAAATTCAATTATATTGATATTTCTTTTCTACGTTAGAAATTTTGCATGGCAGGAAAATTCATCACACTCACTCACTATTCCGAATGGTCAAGGAAACTTCAGGTGGGAATGCAAAAAAGGGAAGTTAAACCCCACAGCTCTCTATAACTTCGAAAGATTAATAAGTGATTTTTGATAATTATCTCGCAGAATTATCTTTAAGTGATGGGAATATAGCTTTAGCAACTGAATTAAATCAAGTGAAACTTAATGTTGATCAAATTTTTAATACAAATAACAATTTCTAGAAAACGCCTCTTGTTTTTATTATTACCTTATATGGTCGCATCCTCTACCTCTAAATGTTCTTAGAAATTTCTAGAGTAATATACAACATAAGGAATACGTTGTTACAAAATTCACAATATCATTGTTGATGACGTTAATGTTTACGAAGTTAACAAGATAGATCTCTTCATATGATTACTTTTTCTGCGCGTTTTGATCTCTTTGCAAAGAAAACGGAATTACACAGGTCAAAACAATTATAGCATATTGAGAACGTGAATGGGTCTTGCGGCTGAGGAATTATTTAGATCAATGATATATGATCAAGAGACCTGGTAGACTACACGAGAAAAAAACTACACATGTTTGGCAGAAAAAATTCATTTTGTTGAACATTTGGGTACAAAAGTAAAAAAACACGATTAGTGCATACGAAAGAAAACGAATAAAGAAATGTGTTTCCTTGAAAGAAAGTCGTTTTTAGTAGGGGGTATTGTTTCCCCAGATGGCCAGCAACGTTGAACGCTTTTGAGGCATGAAGTATTAATGAGAAGCTGGGGTATTCTGTCCTGCTCCTCCAGAAGAGCTCTTCTAGTTCTTGGAGAGTTTTTTGGGTAGTAGTCGGCTAGCAACTCTTCTGCCTAGCATATCTCAAACATGCTTTATTCGGTTTATGCCCGAAAACCACACTGGCCATTGCATTTCGCTGATTTCTCCTCGAAAAGGGAATCATTCACCAAGTTATCACGATGTGGCCTGCAATTGTCGTTCATTAACATGTCATTCTCATTTGCTTCAGGGTAAGGATAACTGCTGTATAAGGTACTACTATAGGTCTTAGGATCATATCCCTATATCAGCGACCGGTTCGAGCTCCATTTAGCGTGATGTGGATATCGAGGCGTCCATCAATGGACATGCCAGCATAGACCTTTACCGATTTTGGACAGTTTGATTTGAAACTATGGTGCCAGTAGCGGAGCGAAGGTGTCTCTGACGAACACTGGCATTCATATTTTGGTGTCTCCCAGCCGTTAGCTCCGGCCTGAATTTCCAGTTTCCTGTTCCAGATCCTGGAAATCATACTTTGTTTAACTCCTGTGGCTTCTGTTACTTCGGTTTATATTTGACCCCTCTAACCGACCAACAACTCTCCAAATCTCTGAATGGATTAAATGGCTTTGTTGAGGTATCGCACTCATCAAAATAAAGCACTTATTTTATTATCTCTCGTTCTTTTCCTCTTTGTCGTTCATTAAATTGAAAGCCAAATTTCATTCGCTGCGTCAAACTGAAAATTTGTACACTCCGAAGTTTGAAAATGAGAATAACTTCCATTTAAGATTCTTTTTTCATGTTTTCTGCAAAAAAAAATTTTGCTTTTATACCGTTATTTTATATAAGATTTCCAATATCATTTAGTTGTTTTGAGTAGTGTATTTCTCAGTCGAATTTTAAAGGGAATAATTTATTTTAAGTTTTCATAAATATTTCATCTATGTTCTTCATTCGTGTTCTTCTGAAGAACGTTTTGCATATTTTCAAAGGTTGCGTGAGATAACAACAATCCTTTTATTTCTTTTTATAGAAGACTTCAGGTTACACAGGTTCTCTTCCTCCAACTTTACATTCCTTGTAGCCGCTACTCACTACTACGTTTATATACATATTTTATTACGTTTATATACTATATATATATAATATATATATATATACCATGCTTACGTTTGCTACATATAAAATTTATATACGTGTGTTATTTTCGTTCTCATACATGCAGCTTCTTACAGTTCTCATACATGCTAAATGTAAACATTTCGTTCTTACAGTTTTGTGTTGCCAGATTCAAATTTTTCAATCAAACTCCTCGCATAGGAAAATCGTGACTTGTGTCCCATGACTGTCTATCCAGAAGGTGGAACACTTACCACAGTGGGATAAGCATTTCACTGAACGTTCCAGACAGGCAGTATACTTGGCGGCCTGTCGTTCATTCGCCTCCTTCACTGCAAACTTAACCTGACTTACTTCAGTGCTCATTTGTAATCATAGAAAGCTGGAAATCTCCTGACGCCACTGCTTGTGACTTTATAATTCTATTATTAAATAAAATGTTAATCGAAGGATTACGAGACGGAAAGGGCAACAAGTCTGTTAAGAATGATGGGCCACACAAAAGCAGCGAAATATTCCAGGTATAAAATTCAGAGAAACGTTTCTGTATCACACACGAGTAAAAATTAATGTACAAAATAATAATATTAAATACGACCATTACAAAACAAGGGGGAACTGACTTATGTATATTCTAAATAATCATATTCACGCCTTTTCGTTATCAAATGTGCTCCTATGTTGAGCCTGTACTCCTACTGATTATTCTGCAATGTTTGACCGACGATCTCAACTGCAACTTATTTTACTGGCGATCTCATCTGCTTATTTGAAGGACGAGCTCAACTGCAGCTTATATGACTGACGATCTCAAATGCAGCACTATTACCAACATGATGAG